ACTTAGATCGATTAGCTTGGTCTGATTATTTCTGCCAAATCGATTAGCTTGGTCTGATGAGTTTACTTAGATCGATTAGCTTGGTGTGATGAGTTTCCTTAGATCTAAGTTCTTTGTCTGATGAGTTTACTTATTCGCGCGGCGAGCTGCGGGACGGCGCCGGGACGTGCTCCGCGGAAGTTCGGCCGGCGAGGGCGCCATGACGCTGGCTTGAGGCGGGGCTGAGGCCGCGCCGTTGGGTTGAGGGCCCAGGGGGCGCCAGGCACGGCTTGCTGCGGGCGTGCGCTCCAGGCTGTCCCGGGAAGGGTGCACCCGCGAGCCCGCCGCTCGGAGTCCTGCGAGGGTGGAATCAGGCAGCTCGGAGGCATCGCCCACAGCATACCCTGAGAAGAAGCGCTCGATCCCCACACGCCCCACCAGCCACAGTCTCGTGTCCCTTCTTCCTATCGCGGCAAAAGTTCCTGGGAGGGGAAAAAAACAAAACTAAGGGGCTAGGGAGAAGAGCAGGAGGCAGCCGGAACAGACAACTCTCGAAGACCTCGTTATTTTTTTATTCATTTGTTTGACGGCTGTACAGAGCTCCGAAACCTTGATCTTGCTGCTGTAACTCTGCACTCTAACCAGCTGAGCTAACTAGACAGCCCTTGAATTAGTTTTCTGTTGTTTCGTAATAAATACCGCAAATACAGTGGCATAAAAGAACGCAGATTTATCTCACACTTCTGCGGCTTAGAAGTCCAGGTAGGTTTGGTGGATTTCTCTTCTCCAGGTCTCAAGGCTGAAATCAAGGTGTCAGCTGGCCTGACCTCTCCTCAGGGAGCTCTGGGGCAGGACTCTGTCTAGGTTCACTCTGGTTGTTGGCAAAATTCACTTCCTTGTGGCTGTATAAGGTCCCTGCTTGCTGGCTGTCGGCTGAGGGTCATTCTCAACTTCTGGAGGCCACCTGCATTTTCTGGCTCGTGGCCCTTCATCTTCAAAGCCACACTTTGAATCTCTCTGACCACCTTTTCTGCTTCATTTCTTCTGCCTTCTCCTGGAAAAAGTTTTCTGATTTTAAGGATTTCTGTGATTAGAATGGGTCCACCCAGATAATCGAGGATAATCTCCCTATTTTAAGGCCACTAATTTAAGGTAACCTGATGACATCTGCAAGGTCCCTTTTACCGTGTAACAACATATTTACAGGTTGCAGGCATGAGGGCATGATGTCTTTGGGGGGATTCTGCCTACCACCCAAGTCTGGCAACCCACTCAAGCTAGACTTTCAGCCCAACCACCGGCTGAAAATGCTCTACATCAGCAAACAAAACAAAAACTCCAGCTCATTTTCCAGTGAGGGAGGTAGAAAATACATACAGTGGCTCAGTATATGCTATGTTACAAAGTGATAAATGCTATGGGGAAAACAGGTCAGCATAAGGGGGGCTGAGGGTCCTTGTGAGGGGGTAGGTGGTAGCTGGCATTTGAACGAACAATGGAAGGAGGAGGAGTGAGCCACATGAGTATAGAGGGAAGAACATTCCTGGCAGAGAGAACAGCCAGTGCAAAGCCCCTGAGCTGGGATCATGCCTGCTGTGCTTGGAGACCGGAGACTGGGCAAGGCGCTGGCTACTGTAAACAGTCGGTCAGGGGCTGCAGGCAGCGGGAGGCCCTTTAGGCAGTGAATGCAGGAACCCCGCCACGAGGTGGTGGTATGCAGGCGTGTGTGGTGGTAGAGGTCTGTATGTCAGGGTAGGCCTTGTTATGCTGCAGTAACAGACAGTCCTAAATTGTGAGTGTCTTAGCAGAATGAGAATGTATTTCCCACTCGTGTTAAGGTTACAAGGCAGTTGAATATATGAGTATAGAGTTCAGGGGAAATGCCCAGCCTGGGGGTACAAATTAGCATATGTATTGTATTTAAAGCTCCCTTAGTCCATTCTGGCTGCTATTACAAAATACCAGAGACTAGGAAATTTATAAATAGAAATGTTATTTCTTACAGTTTTGGAGGCTGGGAAGTCCAAGATCAAGGCACCAGCAGATTCATTGCCTGGTGAGGGCTGCTCTCTGCTTCACAGATGGCACCTTGTTGCTGGGTCCTCACACGGTGGAAATAAAAAAAAGGGAGGAACGTGCTCTGTCTGGCCCTTTTATGAGGATAATAATCCCATCTGTGAGGGTGGACCTCCTGAAGGCCCCACCTCTTAATACTGTTGCATTGGGGATTAAGTTTTAACATGGGTTTCAGAGGAACACAGATATTCAAACCATAGCAAAAGTCTTAAAAGTGAATGAGATCACCATGGGAGAAATAGGGGATAGAGAAAAAGAGAGGTCAAGAACTGAGCCCTGGGTGGTCCCTTATTACAGGGGAAAGAGATTGGAGAGGAGAGGACCCAGTAAAGAGAACTAGGACATTAGGAGGAAAACCAGGAGAGTGTGTGGCCTGGAAGCCGAGCAAAACAGTGCATGTGGAGAGGCAGGGTTCAACCGTGTCAAATGCTGCAGAAGGTCCTGCGAAATTTTCATGGGAACTAATCAATGGATTTAGCAACATGGTTACCTTGACTGGTACAGTTTTGGTGGAGCCATGGGGGAATAAGTCAAAGTGGGTTAAGAAGGAAAGGAAAGGACTGGCCGGTTATCTCAGTGAGAGCATGGTGCTGATCACACCAGGGTCCGGGGTTCACTCCCTGTGCTAGACAGTTGCCAAAAAAATAAGTGAATAAAAGAATGGAAGGAGAGGAATTGGAGGCTACGGAGTGGACAACTCTTCTGAGGCATTCTGCTTAAAAACAGAGCAGAGAAGCGGGGCGAAGCTGGAAAGAGAAGGGAGGTGAAGAGAGATGGTTTTTTTTTTTTTCCTTTTTGTCTTTTTTACTGACCGGTAACGGGATCGCAACCCTCGGTGTCGCACCCGTACCGGGGACCGGCAACGGGATCGCAACCCTCAGTGTTGCGCCCGCACCGCGCTCAGCCAGTGAGCGGGAACTGGTCTCCACATGGGATCCGAACCTTCGGCGGGAGCGCTGCCACACTTCCAAGCGGTGGCGCACTCTCCAGTGCATCACCGGGCCGGCCCGAAGAGAGATGGTTTTACAGGCGGGGAGGAAAAGCGTGTTTGTTCACCCGAGGAAGTGATGCTGCAGCGAGGGGAGCTGGTGGTGCAGGAAGGGGGTGCGAGGATGGCTGGGAGGGGGCGGAGCTGGGGTTCATTCATTC